GTTGACCTCCTACACATGACAAGGGTTGACCAGGAGGTGAATCAAGCATGGGATGTCAGGTCACTTGATAAACAATTCACGAGTCAAGGAAGTGGTAACGGAGATCGGGGCCTTTTAGTACACGTCCTGCGTGTTATCTGGTTGTTATTAATGGTAACTAAGAAGGGGCTAAATATCTCCAGGTTTTGTGCACCCATTCCAAGCTAGTGAGTGAGACAGAGGTTGATATACAGTTCTGTGACTTTTCCTACAATCAAATACTGAAGGACAGACTACACTGGTCTTGGATTTTTGCTAGAATCCTCTCAAGATCACAAATTTGATCATTAAATTTCAGGCAGCGAGAATTACCTCACCTCAGGTCACCAATCCACTACCTGAGTGACTGAGTATGGGAAGTGTTGACCATAATACAAGTAGGGGTTTCCTGGATTCTACACTGTCCATTTTTTATACACAAGGTGCCAAACCCAGGAATCAAAATCTACATAAGCTCTACATTATCACCCATTAGTTATTACAATATGGTAAATGTCTGATTCAGTTGTGCTTTATATTACCCGAGGTCCTTTTCAACACCGAAGGGGGACCTAGACAAACCTCGGTGGGTGTGTCTGGGTTCACCTCTCCCTCCTCATTTCTCCACCAACTACATCAGTAACACTCTTATCATAATACATACTCTCTCACTCTTGTCTTTGTATTCAACCTCTGCTCTTTCCATGTACTGTTTCTAGTTCTTGTATTTACTACCTACAGTCCTCATATATATACAACATCTAGTCCTTACATATAATAAGTCAATTTAGTCAATGTCAATACCAGTGAAATAAGTTTGTCTATCTGGGTGACTTCCTGCAACCAAGGGTCTCACATCACAGCAAGACTAATAATGTTTTTATCGGTACAAAGTTGCCATTACAGTCACCTATGTATAGAAAACAATACCCATTCACATCAATACAAATGTCAGGTATGAACAGATCCCTCCATAAACATTAGAGTTGCTCAAATAATGAAAATGTTTCTGGATACAAATGATTCCCATTTTCTATAGTTATGTGGGTGGGGAAAAAACACATGCAAATTTTTAAGAAAGAAGAATTATATTTTACATCAAAAAATCTGATTAAATAGCATCTTTATCTCCAAATTATAACAAATTAAATAAGTATTGTATATCGCATTGCATTTCCTCGAAAGGTTTGTCATATATACGTGACTCGAATTTTTTCTGGCTCCGAGACATCTATTTCTGGGCTAATTTTTATTGTAAAATTTACTCTATCTGGAAAATTTTCTATATGAACAACACTAATGTACACTTTTTTTTACCTTTTGTAATCACTACATCATACAGTCTTTTTATAGGAAAAATAATGAATGTACCGGTATGACTGACAAAGTGTGAATCTATAATCAAAATCTACATCTTTACATATGTTCAACCATAATTATAATATAAGAACATGACATATGATAATTTCTAGAGGAAAATTATCTTCTTCTAATTCTTTGATAATACGCTACAAGTAATGACATAATATTGGCAGGCTGCTTGAATCTGAATCTCCCCATGTTGTTTAGGTATCTGGATTGACACAGCAGCAACCAGGACCCATTGGACATGAACATGACATCCCAGCTGACACACTGACTAATGTGTGACTATGCGGAGGTTGAGTGGGTATAGGTAAACAAAGCCTCGAGAAAAGTAAGGCGGCCCTAAAGCACACCGTACAAAATCACGGCACAGCAGTATCCAACCTTTTCGTGAATTACTGTACTGTACGTCACGACGTGTATCAAAATCATCAATTTCTAGTAATGAAAACTTAATATGGTTTGTTTGTCCTGCTCAAATATCTAAATTAAACATGGGCCATAAATAATAAACAAAGATGGATAGAGCAGGTCACTGAACTCGATTCGGTAAGTAGTAATATGAAGATGCACAGCAAATTACACTTCAATACACAGTACCATCCACAAGTTGCTAAATGGACGAGGCATATCATAAGAGACGCACAGATGGACGAGAAGATGGGTAAAACACTATATGCCCTCCTCATATTATCTGGCAAGGGCTAAAAGGATAAGGTAATTTTCTGGTGTGTGTGTGTTATAAGGATTACGGCAAACTCGCCCAAGTACCAGAACAACTCAAAAAGTGTAAACTCTCTGACCATAAATAAATAATAGAAATGAGGAAGAGAAAGTAGCAACAGATACAGAAGAAGAGATGAAGAATGCAAAAGCAGCAGAGGGAAAAGAGGAAGTGTAGTGGCAGCCAAGATGGCAACAACATGAAGAGGACTACGGTATTCCAAAACAAGGTGTAAAAATGTACAATTGGTTTGGTTCATTATAATACAACAATGTCCTTAATTACCTTCATAGACTGCACATTCAAACATTTAGCCTTATAAAAAGAACAATTACAGTACTACAAATAAATAATATTTTCACAATATACAAAACTCATCATTGAAATTCTTGCTCCCACCCCTCTACAGTATTGCAAGTCATCGTGGAAACGACGGGACACCGTCCTAACAGACACGCCACTAAGCAACCTCGGATTCTGCTTCTGCTCCTTAAATTGCCATGCAGACAAACATGGATTGTGTAGGGATGCAATAGCTACTAGTACATCCCTTGACAAAATATTGTAATCGCTCATTCTTCCGCGAGACAGCACAATGCTTGCACAAATGTGTAAAATCCTGGGTCACAGGTGGGAAGGTCAGCAACAGGGGTGCTAAATCAAGGAAGCCGCGCAGGCTACGAATCACCATTTTCACGCTTCTTCCGGCCACCCTGATCCCAGGTGCAGTTGCCAGATGTAAAAAAAAAAGCGACCAATTTGAACGGTAACTAGACTAAACATGGTGGGTCGATTGTAGCTTTTGAAATTGTCGCCGCGCTCCCGGCAATAATTTCAATGACAGGTACTGTATACTTACACCTCAGACCATTCAATCTGTCATAGGAGAATAAATAGCAAGAGACCACTGAGTTACCTGGTGACTGTAGAGAACCAACGAGAGCCACCAGGTGACTGAAGAGGACCACTGAGTTACCTGGTGACTGTAGAGAACCAACGAGAGCCACCAGGTGACTGCATAGGACCACTGAGTTACCTGGTGACTGTAGAGAACCAACGAGAGCCACCAGGTGACTGCATAGGACCACTGAGTTACCTGGTGACTGTAGAGAACCAACGAGAGCCACCAGGTGACTGCATAGGACCACTGAGTTACCTGGTGACTGTAGAGAGCAACGAGAGCCACCAGGTGACTGCATAGGACCACTGAGTTACCTGGTGACTGTAGAGAACCAACGAGAGCCATAAAGCTTATAACAGCTACTTTAGTAAAAGCAATGTACTCTAGCCAAAGAAATAGGTAGCATAATCATAATGGCATACAGATACTTGAAATATAATTCTAACCCTCCTCAATACTGTGCTATACATTTGGTAGATACAGGTGTGATATATTATCACAATAGGAGGAGGTCTGTACACATTCCGGGAACACAAACTATAAAAAATATACTGATAAAGGACTGTATTCTTTAAACTATTTAGCATATACACTAGCCCATCGACTGATTTCCCCACCATAGAGACTCCCAATGTGTCAGAATTGTCCTGAACACTGGCATATTTAGTGACTAACAGCAATTTAATGGTGGAAATTCATCAACCCTCAAGTAATGTGTTACCACACACCATGGTGTGCAGTTGAACAATACCTCTTTGAGACATGTAATAAATTAAACAATGTTGATGATTGTTTCCAAGGACATGAGGTACCAATTGAAGAGGACCGATCCTGGGTCCTCACTCTCCAGGAACTTGATGACGAGAACATCCTTTCTTGGTGATGATCCTCAGCAGCCGTCTGCAACACCACAGACACACAATCTTCAGTTCAGCTGTCACATACACAGTCCTTAGACCTAACTTCTACTGACAATAGCTTCTGGACTGAGGGCTAATATTGCAAGAGGTACACCGCACAAGGCCAGCTTTCATTCGTGAGTAAATTTTGGTAACGCAAATTGTACTATCCTCACATAGAATGAAGAAAAAAACCATGCATGGATATCTTCAATGCCGATTGATACCTAAAGGATTATAACCAACGGAACGATAAAGAAGATCTTACCCATTGTGTGTGACGAGTGTTTGCCGCGAACCCCAGTTGAACATGCCGACCACTGTCTCCATTGGCGTTTTGGTCAGTGATGGTGATGGGTGCGATCCAGGATCTTATGAAGGCGAGAGGTGGAGTGACCCATCCACGGTGATGGCATTCCACGAACAAATAATAAACCCACTCTCACCCACAATTCCTTCTGTGCTTTTTTTAGCTTGATCTGTGGATATTAATTTAGTTGTACAAAATGCCACAATAAAAGAAACTACAGTACTACAACTCTATTAATCACAAAAGGAACAAAAGAAACTACACTATCAATCTATTTAACCTCACAAGAAATGAAAGGAATTATTATAATTTAATTTATCCTTTAAAACATAATACATCTCAATACGCAGCCATCCTCTCTCTGAACTGTCACATTGCACATCCACCTCACCATTTTCATTTCAGCTCACTCAAAGCAGTAAAAGAGGGTCTTTAACTGCCATACAACATCACACTTCTCCAATAAGCTACATACATTCTGCCTTTCATGTGGAGGAAAGGTTACTCTTGCTGTCAATAAAGGCAGCAGCTCCCTAGCTACCTCCAGCTATTTCTGACTCTTGCAACAGAGCAGGCTTCAGCACCACCACTGACCATGTCACCCGAATAACATGATAACTTAATAACCTTAAACAAGCTCAAGCAACAAACAATACATGTGTACAAGTTTACCAAAATAAGAAAAAGAGTTGTTTGTCAAGTTGTTTGTCAAGTGTTATAAAACTGGAGTGTTCTCTCAATAATGTTTTTGGTGTTATTAAGTTTTAAAATGGTTCAGATAATTTATGGACACTCAGACACTGGTGACTTACTGATGGCAATATTTAGGTCCCTTCTGGCAACAAAACCCACCAGGTACTGAGACTGCCAGCTCACCACCACGGGGAATCCATTGTGGTCCATCTCTCGAAGAAGCTGCTCCACATCATCCAGGGTCATACTGTCTTGGGTTATCACGAAGAAAGACTCATGTTTCCTGTCGATGATAACCAGGGTAAGAATCATTGGTTAGTGATTAGAAAATAGTTCTTTGACAATAATTTTCTTAAAAAAAAAAGAGTTCATAATGTACTTAAGCTCATCAGTGATAAATGAAAAATGTTCCACCACAACTGTAAGGCAACAAGTAAAGTACAGTACGGTAAACCCTCTATATAAGGGACAGGTTTGCATTCATTAGTCTGGTATTGGAAGGGTTTACTGTAAGGAGAAAAGAGGAGGAGTGCAAATTCAGTAAAGACTCACCCTGGCTTCATCACATCATGTGCAAGAGTGGTGTGACTGAACTCTTTCTTGGAGTCTAAGAATTGATAACCGTTGAGGATAATGTGGGCATCATAAATACCCTCACGACCAAATGCGTCCCCAATCCACTTGCTGGCCATCACTGCAGCCATGAGAGGCACAATGTAACGTACACCTCCTGTCAGCTCAAACATGATCACTACAAATGACACTGTGGAAGAAAACTCGTGTAAAAGACAGAATCTCCTTTACAGAAATCTTTCCTGGGTGACCAACCAATACACAGAGAAAGAGCTGAACCTGAAGAAAACTCTGCAGCAACAAGGGGAAACTCAGCTCTTACTGTAATATTTGAGATCTAATTTTTGGGTGTCTTTTGTGAATACAGGACATGACAGTACCTTATATAAAATATATATACATCTTTATTATACAAAATATAATTTATCTTGTATGTAGTAAAATAGTCAAGATGTGTTAGTACAATTGAAAAGTTTTTCTAAATTTGGAGGACAAAAATTACTAAAACAATAAAAAGCAGGTAAAATTTTACTACAACTTTTTCATTTATAACTTGATACAGTACTGTAGTTGTGACTCAATATCACCCATTCACACACACAAAAGAACTAAGCAGATATTTGAGACGAATCACTAAATTAAATTAAACACCAATATATAATACACTGCATACATAAAATACAAAGGGATATTTACCAGTCATGCGCGTGACCCCACCAAGTACAGCTGCCGCCCCAACCATGGCAAACACCACCCAGTCTTGATTGTGACTGAAAAGAAAAAGATGTTGGTTTAGGGTTTAAGTTTTAAAATGGCTCTGATAATTTATGGACACCAGTACAGTACAGTACTTCCAAGGACTTGGTACCCACTATGCTAGCTGCTCCAAGCCGACGCCCACCAGCCGCCTGATGATGGCACCCATGGCCAGGGAAGGAATGAAGAGACCGCAAGGGACCTTGATGCCTAAAGTGAACACCGTAACCACACACTGCAGAGAAAATATAAAAATAAAAATAAAAATTCACTTCAATTAATTAGAAATCTATGTTAAAATTATAAGAAAATCCATAATTAATGGTATTCACATGTTACTAGTATGAACTATTAGTAGATAAAGCATAATGAAGAGTTTCCACAGTTGCCTTAAGGAGCTTTCTATCTACATTTCTGATTTCCCACTTAACATCCTGAGTAATTTTCAAGGATTTTCAATTGTGGGTTTTCAGTTTGATTCAATGGACATTTAATGAACACAAAAGAAGGTGTTATCCATCTAACAGCTACTGAGGCATAATTTAATACTGAAACAAGAACACCCCCCCCCCCCCGCCCCACAAAAACTGTACAGTAATACAGCATACACCACAGACCCCCAACTACTGTAAGGCCCCCCCTGAATGAGTAACCAACGAAGGCAAATTCACCTAAAGGGTAGTTGTTCAGGGAAGCATATCATTCATTAACCAGGACATTCCTGTTAACACACAAGAACCTCATAATGTACTGTTTTAAATCCCAAGACTTAGCCCAACACCTCACCTTAAATACAAGAGCGAGGGCAAGAAGCCACACTGCCTGAAGGACTCCTGGACCCGCTGCAGCGATCTCAATGGCTGTGTTGGCACTTGTGAAGTTCCGCTGGTAGTCACTGTAAGTATAGTACGATGTAGAGACATAAAGCACAATTCCATGAGGAAAAAAAAAAACACTTAAAATTTTTGTTTATTTGACAGAGAACAAAAATCTCAATAATCTACAGTAAATAAAAAAAAGTAACATAATTGAGTCGTCTTTTTTTTTTTTGATGAATAATAAAAGGTAAATTTATCAGTATTGTACAATAGACAAGGTGGATTTTTTTTACCAATCTGAAGCTCATGATTAGTAGAACAAATGTTGTGTCTCCTGTCGCTGTGACTTATATCATCAGAGAGACAGAATATTAAAGCAAAATACAAATAATGTAATGAATCTCCTCTTACCTGTGGAGCAACACCTAGTTCAGAAAGTGTTGTTTTTCTTACCTCAATGCCACTTTCCTCCTCTCTATGGCACTTTCCTCCTTTCTTATACAATATAGTACTGTACTTTCCTCCTCTCTATGGCACTTTCCTCCTTTCTGATACAATATAGTACTGTACTTTCCTCCTCTCTATGGCATTTTCCTCTTTTCTGTGATACAATATAGTACTGTACTTTCCTCCCCTCTATGGCACTTTCCTCCTCTCTATGGCACTTCCCTCCCCTCTATGATACCTCCCTTAAAATAACAAAGCATCCAAGATTAACTCATCCACCTACCCTTTACCCATTTATCCCACTAATGAAAATAAAAAAATAGTCAAAAATATCCCTAACTGATACGTACAAAGAGTTCGCCAATGCCATCCCAACCCAGACGGCTCTCGATGGAACGCTCGGAAGTCAAGACCCTACTGAACCTAACCTAACCTCGGTACAGTGATGGTTTTAAGCGGAACTTTTAATTAAGCCTCAGCATAAATTGTGCAGTTTTAAGCGCAACTTTTCAGTCTTAAGACTAAATTAACTGCGCTAGTCGAACAAGCTCAATAAACCAGGATATGAGTTGTGTGGACATAACTGAAATTGTGAGTACTGTACATCAACAGGTGTCTGGTCAAAGGGTGACTTGATACTAGGGTGACTGAACAAAAGGTGACTAATCATAGGGTGACTAATTATATAGTGACTGAACAAAGGGTGACTATTTAAAAATGGTAAATGATGAAATAGTGACCTAACCTAACCCATCCCTTAGGACCCATTACCGCCCTTCAGACACGGAAGGAGTGGGAGACGCCCTTCAACCCATAAACCATTAAATTGTTACAAACTTATCCAATCTGTAGCGAAATCTCCCCCTAACTGACCTCGATCTAATGGATATACTGTAGTAGGTTTAACAGCTAATGGACTATCCACTCCTATACAGTTCAATAGTTAGGGGTCTCAATGTTTATATTGAATTTAACTTAACTACCTGTCGATGTACTTTCTCTTCTCAAAACAGGTAAATTCTGATAAAGTTGATCTAAACATGAAGCGAATGGCTAGGCATCAGCAAAAAAATAAAATAAAAATAGTTTGGTAATTCTAAAAGCATATCAAGAAATATATACAGCTCCTCCCCGATTTACGACGGGGTTAGGGACCCAAATCCAAGTCGTAAGTCGAAAATGCTTAAATAATACATAGAAAATAAAAAATGGGTGGCTCTTTTTCTTCTCGGCAACACAAAACTCTCACTTTTAAGCTTGCCAGCCATTTTAAAGTGAATTACAGATGAAAATTTTGTCTGTGTACTGACTTTGGGACTCGAAAATACGTAATTTGACCAAATTTTGGTACAACCGAGGCAGGTCGTAAGTGCTGGTGGACTAAGTCGAGTAGGTCAAGTCAGGGAGGATATATATACAGTAATACCCCGCTTTACGCGGTTTCACTTTCCGCGATTTCGCATTTACGCGGTACCTCACCAAAACCGGACTTTCACTTTATGCGGTGCATCTACTCATATACGCGGGAAGCGGCGCGGGTAGGATGCGCACAAGGTCGCCCAGTCATCAAAACATTACCGAGTTCTTCACCCGCCACCCACCACAGCCGGCCCAAGTCAGTGATAGTAAGGATATGGACTTATATGGACTTTGAGAGGTTTGACAAAGAGGCCCTGCAAGCCTATGTGGTGGATAGTGATACAATTGATACAAGTGATACAGGTGAGGGCCAATAATCTGCCCTCTGCCTCGGAACCAACCCCCCCATCCCCGTGTGCCCAGCCATCTTTTCTACTAATGTAAGTGTTAAAAAACCTAATATTATTGATATTTCTCTTAATTATTAATTGTGTGTGCATACCACCATAAAATTAAGATGTTATTTTTACTACAACGTAGGTATTGTGTCTGAAAAAGTGGAGTTTGGGGGTCAGGCCAGTCTCTGTGGAATTAATCCCATATGTTCTGTTGTTCACTTTCCGCGGTACCCTGTGGGTTCAATTGACCGCATAAATCGGGGTACTAATGCGTGTGTATATATATATATATGTATATATATATATATATATATATATATATATATATATATATATATATATATATATATATATATATATATATATATATATATATATATATATATATATATATATATATATATATATATATATGTCTCTCTTTATCTCTACTATAAGCTAAAAAAAATTGTCTGACATTTATTTCAGTGCTTTCTATAATGTTTGTAATGATATAACAGAAGAAGGAAATACAACTACAATACTTTCTTTAATAATTTCTGTTACCAACGTTTATGTTTTGGGTTCATTAGAAATTTTTGGTGGTTGGAAAACACGCGGTTATTTCTTTCCTCAGCCTCATTCCCGTCACAATACCAGACAGGGAGAGAGACACGGGACACCCAAGACACTAATGTTACACCACCTGTCTGAACCAACCCAATCACAGACACAATATAGTACACCAAAGCACGGGACAAGGAGACCGACGAATGACCAAACACTTGACTGTCTCATATCCTCAACCCACTCGGAATAATATTGAGGGTTTGTAGACATCTGATAAAAAGGTGAGACAAGCTACAAATCGACAAAGCAAAATATCTTAGAATTTGATGAATTAAAACAAAAAAGAAGCAAGCTGAAGATAAAATTAGATGATATACCTGGTCCCATAGGAGCAGTGCGATTCACGAAGGAACTTGCTTAACCTGATCTGTTCAGAGATGGTCCACCATGGAGAGCTGGAGGTACATTTTACACAACACATGCAATACAGTGCACCAAGGGCTCTCAAATCAATCATTCTGTTTACTTAATGGTGAAGCTGAGAATACAAGAGCAGTTTATAATACAGTACATTTACATAAAGAAAATAACAAAAGCATAAGACTGTAATGTAAATAATGGTGATAATCACTTACAATTCGATTAGTGTAAAGTACAAGAAGGGATATTCCAATCTTTCAGTCCATGCACTCGTGAGGTGAACGTTCTACCTGCACAGTTAAACACATGCAGTACATTCCTTATCAGTAAACTAGGCTGAAGGAAAGTCAATCCAAATATAAGTGAACGTAAGTATAATTGAATGTAAATGAGTGTAACCGATAACAAATAAAACTAAAAGAATATTTCTCATCCTAAACCATGCAGAGAAGTGATTGGCATTCCCTTCCAGAACGCCTACGTAGTTTCAGGCAAAGTAAATACCAAGTACCGAGGGTGTTGGGTTGGTTGGGACTACATGACTATAAAGAATTCCACACACTTAACCTTTAACCTTAATGCAACCAAGAATTAAGAGATATTAAATATATATATCTTAGGGTAAGTCTCATCCATGACTTAAGTTGCAAGATAAATTGTCTGATCTGATAACATATAGAAAGTGGATGGGTATATGCATATTTTGGGGGGAGGGGACCAAATCTCATTACACGATAAACTGTCATGGTAACTTGTGTGTCTAGAGGGGTGGGGGGGTGTGGGAGGGGACAACAGCACTGCACAACACACAAGGAAATAATTCATGTTTGGCAGACTGGAAACTGGTGAACAATCTGAAGAGTGTTTTCAAGGGCAACTCTACCAACCACTTCTCTCGTAGTGATTTATTAAAACACAATATAAGAATCGTAATGATGTACTGTATTGTGTGTTTCTACTATGATCGATGAGTACAGTATAGAGGACGAAGTACATTCGCTCCAAAAAGTATCTTAAAACAATTCTGTGTGGGACAATATAATGGATGAAAGATTTTGACAACCTACCGAGACAACAGGAGTCGCGGTGTCCATTTTGAAATTCATCGGACCGCTCCAAGAAGACACTTTTCGTAGCGAGTGTACAAGCAGAAAAGGTAAAGTACATGCTTAAGGCAAGGGGTTTTATTTCTAATCAATGACAGGTGAACTATAATCCCTGTTTGTTGGGGGCACAAAGGAAGGATCGATGACAATGTTTGGTGTATCTAAAGTGAAGGTGCTGAGTCGAGTTTACTAGTAGAAAACAAGCCTTTAACATGCAAACTAAAGATATTATTTCATGCTTCTCTTCTACAAAAATTAAATCATTGCCAATTCAGTAAACACCATATTTGTTACTATCTAAATATAAATACAGTCAGTGTCCGCTTAACATACACAATGCATTCTTGAAAACCTGTATGTTGACTGGATGGATGTTAACTGGATGTACATTAACTGTATGTAAGTTAAGTGGAGACTGACTGTATACAGGTAGAGATACATATAGTGTTACTGACCTGACCTTCTTGTTACTTCAGTATTGGACAGTGACTTACCACAGGCTGTCGTTGTTGGCCACCCCACACTGAGAGAAGAGGAGGTAAATGAGATTGGAGGTATTCATACGAGTATAAGGGTTGGGGTAGGCTATGAATGCGGTGATGAGCGTGACAATAAGCACCTCGAGTCGCGGATACTGGCCCACCAGAGACATCTTGCGGAACCGACACCACTTGATGTTGAATTTGATGAAGAGAGTTCCTATGATGCCCTGTAATGTAACAAGTCTCAGTCTGCAGTGGGTACAAATGTAAATACACACAGCAAGATAAAGCCTAATAATAGATAAGGAGAATCAAGTTACAAATCCCTTCACATACATTCCTCAGGTACTAACAATGCTCATCCCAAAATTTTTTTGAAGAAGTTTACTGTGTCAAATTCAAATATGGTTCTTAACTCTTACTACTTCAGTAATACTTTTGTGTGTAGATATATTTGAAGAGACCAACAGTAAAGCAATTAACACCTAAACACTTACCCCAATGACACCAAGAACAATGAATGGCACCAGTTCAATAAATATCCATGGTTTGTTGTACTCCACGTAGAACAAGACTAGATGTTCATTCCCGAAGGGGTTGATGGAGCGCAGGACAAAGGCTGCCATTAAGGCAGCAAAGAATGACCGCCACAATGTCTTGAGGGGGAAGTAGTAGGACGCCTGGAGAACATTAACAAAGAGAACACAATTACTAGATAATTCAGAAATAAATGTTCAATCTTATTATTTTTCTGATCTTAAGTTTCCTTTATTCTTGTGAAATAAGATGCTTTAATAAAATGGTGGGTGATGGCTCAAAGCGGGGCACAAATCAAACTTCACATTAATAAACATATGGGTTTATATTAAAATAAACAAACTTACCTCCTCTAAGCTGAACAACACTCCACCAATGGGGGCCCCAAAGGCAACAGACACACCAACTGCTGCTGCGGCAGAGAGGATCTCACGTTTTTTGGCCTCGTTCTTCCCATATTTTGGGAACAGGTATGAAAGAATATTTCCTGTAAAACAAGAAGTTCCTTTATTAACACATTACAATAATAGTGAAAGGAGTGGCAGAAGACAATGACTCGGAGCAATACAAATTTTAGTATACAGTATTCCTATTTGTTAACTGCACGAGAGAGAAGGGTGTCCACATGTAGAACCCTACAAATTGTGCAGTAAACTATAACTTATTTGGATTATATAAACATGTGATAGCTCAATAAGTTATATTAACAAAAATATATGCAGGTCAAATCTGTAAAGCAGCTGGTCGAGCCAATCAGCTGCTGTCCCCGCACATCTTAACATGTAACCCACAACTTGTATGTACACACTAATCACTGTGATTTATTTTGCTACAATATCACAAAACAACCACACAAAACCTTCCTCTTTACCTTAGAAATATCCTCAAGTTTATAAACACAACTATACCAGCAACAAGACAGCCATAACCTCAATGCTGTGATAATATATACAACATGTCAAAAGTAATTCCTTATCTAGGGAGGAAAAACTTACCAATACAACAGGCCACATGCACCAGGGGGCCTTCCTTCCCCAAAGAGAGACCAGCAGACACAGCAAGGATCATGCCAAGTGATTTGATGAGTAACGTCCACTTGCCCAGGTACCCACGGATGATGAACCCACTCAGAATAGTTTTAATCTAAATAAAGAAAACAAATTGCACAATATATCAGCATCAAGAGTTAGAATTAATTATTATATCGGCATCAAGAGTTAGAATTCATTCCTATATCGGCATCAAGAGTTAGAATTCATTCCTATATCGGCATCAAGAGTTAGAATTCAGTTCCTATATTGGCTTCAAGAATTAGAATTCATTCCATATAATCTGTACTGTACTGGAATCACATTCTCATTTCCACACATGAAGGTCGTCCTGACCGTATGTGTCCAGGCAAAAGATATCACACTCTCATTCATCCCTAAAGAACGTCCCCACAATCGAAGACACTGATCGACTACGGCCAGGAACCCAGATTCAGAATGGGTTGGGTCTGAAAGTCACCCATGGGCCCCTCAACCTATCACCCATAACATAAATAACCAAATCATGTTCAATAGAAATGCAACCTGAATTTGATCACACCTACATGTAAATATAGCATCAAGTACAGTAGCAGATAATTGAGTTCCTGCATCACCCATCAGCGGTGGGTGTCCATGTCTGAACATCATCCAGTGTTGTGTTCTGTGGCTGTTTCTCATGTCCTCATCCACTTCGTATTTACTGCCTCCATTATTCAATCCTTCCACGTCATTCTTCCTCTGTCTCTCTCTCTCTCCCTCACCACTCACCTCTGGAATACCTGAGCCACAGGCATATGGAGCAAACATCATGACTAGCGATGCGGCCAGGGAGGCGAAAAGCAGCGACCACAGAACGTAGAAGAGGTAGGAAATTATGTAAGCTCCCGCACCATCTGGAACATGGTTGAACACCTCGGGCCACGAGTACCACTGGAGGAAGAGAGAAAAATACCTTATAGGATTTTTAAGTCGATAACACTTTTTCTCCCAGAAGAATACATCATAATTAGGTTTTTAAGCATTCTAAATAACTTTAATTATTTCAAATGTCATTAATTAATACTAATTACTCGAATCTGTAAATAGTGAACCCAGATCCTTAAGCGGCATGCATGAAATTTGAAGAAAATCTAATTCACGGAATATTCATGAAGTACCGTACTGTAAAGAGACAGTAAACATGTGAGCATATAATTCTGGAACACACTTGATGAAATAACTTATGAAGTACACTACTCTGTATAGAACCTAAGTGATGAAGAGAAGGAAGTAAACGAGGGTAAGTGATGAAGAGAAGGAAGTAAATGAGGCTAAGTGATGAAGAGAAGGAAGTAAATGAGGCTAAGTGATGAAGAGAAGGAAGTAAATGAGGCTAAGTGATGAAGAGAAGGAAGTAAACGAGGGTAAGTGATGAAGAGAAGGAAGTAAATGAGGCTAAGTGATGAAGAGAAGGAAGTAAATGAGGCAAAGTGATGAAGAGAAGAAAGTAAATGAGGCTAAGTGATGAAGAGAAGGAAGTAAATGAGGCTAAGTGATGAAGAGAAGGAAGTAAAGCGGTACAGTATAGTGTATCTAATTTCTGCTGTAATAAAGGGCATCACAATAAGGCACGAGGACTTACGTTGGAACAGTTATCGCCATCGTAGAAAGTTTCGTTTGAGGACCAACAACACTGCTCCTGATTAAACCAGAATGCCTCCGGACAGATCCCAAATCTTAGGTCGGACATCCAACTGGTTCCTATGTCAATCATACCGGCGGCAGCACCTGAACAGAAACAAATAATTATATATAAACTGTACTGTACACACGCTCCAAAATGTATCTTTACGACCTTGTGTGGGACAATCTGACACAGTGGATGAAGGTTTGACAACGCTACCGAGAGAGCGGGAGTCACGTTGTTCATTTAGACATTCATCGAACCTCTCCTTAAATATATATTTTGGGGTGTTCTGTGATTAGTTCAATCTTAAAATAGTTCTAAAATGAAATACTGTATTGGTGAATTTTGTGGTTTTTGCACAATTTATAATATTTCCAAATATTTATTTGTAGAGGAGCATCAAAACATGTAGAGCTCAGCGTAACTCAATAACCCAAGACCTCGACTCGCCTGCAATAACGCCCACCATGAACACACACAGCCACCCGGACCACGCATCGTGGCCGCTCTTGACCCAGTCCCAGTAGCTGTCCTCTTTCTTTTTAATGATGTAACGGTGGCGCATTCGATCTCTGGCGACGTCGCGCTGCCAGTCGATGGTGTGGAAGTCATCGTACTGGCCGATACCCGTGAACTCCTGCTCATCTGAGTCCAAATGGAATGTGCTGTTGTTGGCAGCTGTTGGCAGAGAGGAAGGACCGTTAAACAAAATAAACACATACAATAACATCTTACTACATCAACAGATAAAACATTTTATATGCTGACTGCTACAAATGAGCAATGATAAACACAAATGAATTTGGTGCATTATATTTACATTGCAAGAGAAATCAAATCCTAAAATAACAATGAGTAAGAATACTGTACTTCATAATTATCCACAAGGAAAATACAATTATAAATCTAAAAAACTCATCATAATAAATTTAGTTCACTTCAACAGCCAATTGTCATACCATCAAATGTTACTTTAAATCTATGCGTTCTCCTCCACTGTACATATAGCGAGAACAAAACAAGTGTACTGTAATGTCTCATCTGACTTTATAAACTTTTAATGATAATGTACGACAGACACATGGATGACTGAAGCATGAAATTCCGTTTTATAGCCAAAAAGAGTAGACATAATACCTCCATAAAACATCTTGGTTCAAGCCTCCCTTTGGCACTCAAACAGCAGCTTACATCACCCAACAAATACACACAATGCTGTAATTAATTCCCGGCCCAGTAAAACACTGTCACAGCAGAGCTACAGCTTCCTAGTCTAATGATTCACTGAGAACTAATGAGGTTTTAGGTTCACCAGCTTAAAGCCTTTGAGACAGATTCACCCATTGTCCTCAACCACTTAGGTATAACTATCTTTGGCATAGTTTATCTTCCTCAGTTCCTGCTGCCTTAGAACACCATCTTGGGAAGGGGTAAGCAAGCCATCTCTCCATTCCAGGAACCTAACCCATTCGTTAAGTGAGGGATACCTATGCAGTGAAAGGAGGCAGCATGGCCGGCACTGAACTCAACCATATTCACTTCCCAGAGACTGAATCACCGACCCACAGAACAGGAGGCGAGCGCAGTACAGTATCCAGTTGACTGTTGCACTCCTTAACTTATACAGTGAAGGTGAACAAATAATGTCCCTAGATAGTGTAGGTATATTGTACAAACAATACAAAACAGTAAGGCAAGTCACCTATAGATAGCCAACAAAGCCTTCACATGTTTATTTCAAGTAGGATATTGCCCGTAGAAAATAGATAACAAATCCCGGCAACTGAACCACGCTCATCTCATAAGGCCACCGACACAACATACACCCCTGCATTATTCTGACCACTCTGTTGCTAGACCTATAAACTTCTTCCATCCCTAAGTGAGCGAGTTGGAACAATTGCACGAAGACTTGTTCAACCAAATGACCCTAATGAAATTCTACCTCACAGTGTCAACAAGCAATTCTACACGTAACCTAAGCCAGATTCTTTTCAAATATGCAAACTGTAGCTGCTCAATGTGGTGATTTACCCATGATTTGCCTGAATTTACATGATTTACCCCAATTTTCACATGATTTCCCCTGATTTACACATTATTGTCCTAAATTTATACATGATTTTCCCTAATATGTTCAACACAGTATAAACCAAAACATGCAACATCATCATAATTCTGGTGAAGAAACTGTTGAAGAATTTTTAAGTACAGTAGATGATAATAATAATGAAGACAACATATTTTAAAACATCAACAAAACATTTGGTAATAAAGGGAAACATTTTAATCACAGGCATTAAAAGGTTAACATTCTTTTAAAATTCCCAGGTGAAATATATTAAACAGTATGCACGTGAGGAAGGGAGGACTGAAAAATACCGACTGGAGTGCAGCGTTGGAAAGTGTGAGCGAGACAACCAGCCGAATCCCACTTTTGTCACAATGAGAGAGACACCGGGTATATAGGCATGCTAGAGTGATAGATATGAACGGAGGTAGAGGATCATTCACTCGCTGGTGGTAGCCCCACGGAGTATCGGTAATGACACCCCCCACGCAACTGTAATCATTAGTAGTTTATCAGTTTATGTATGCTAGCTGTAGGGTGGCAGAAAGTGTGTAATGAAAAAGACACACATCCGCAAACACTTAGAGCAGTTGGATCGTACAGGCCAATTAATCACCCAACCATGTCACTCGGCTATCTGTAACCACACCCAGCAACGAGACAGACCGACCCATCATGGAAGATCGTTTTCGTTATAAATTAAAACCTGCTGTCAGTGATATGGCCTCGTGTGGACATATGGCCCCGTGTGGACTATTGCGTTTCTCACATTAAGTTACACCCTTTCTTTATTCTTCTTTTGTACATTTATCTGCTTATTTTAGCTCTTGAACTTCTTTAATTTTGTAAATTTTGTATTTTAAATTTGTTTTCTCCATCATTCATATATGGTAGCCCTTTGTTTTTTGTTCCAACTTTGCATTCACTGATACAATTATAATATGATTTAAAATAATGTGTAATATTACATTTCATCATTATGAATTTACACATGTAACTGGAGAGCTTTATCCCTTTAAGATCTGCTCTGAGGATGGAATCAGTGATGTTCCCAGACATAAGCTAATTAAATTAAACAACTCAACACTAACGTTAACCTAAACATTTGGTCCTAAAATCTCAACCCTGACACAACTATATACTGTAAGGTCCTTTCATTACTTAACAGCTTATATTAATAGTTTCAATACGTAAAAGTTGTACAATACGGTATTCAATTTTTTTCTGGAGTCATCTGAACACCAAATACCTCACTCCCAATAGCCTCCATATATTCTGAGGCTCCCTTATTGTGCAGTCAGAGACACCATCATCCTAATATTGGGAGTGTGTGACTGTATGTCTCGCCTCACACATTAGATCACGGCTACCCACAAATCCCACTTGGCATCTCATGTACTTCCGGCAACTTAACTACAGTATACAGTCTATGTACAGTTTATAAAATCTACAGTATAAGTAAGGTACAGAGTAACTATATAAGTTTATAAGTATACCAGAAAGCTTACAAATTTTCCTAGATGTATTTCTCTTGCTTGACTCATAACCTTGTTAGTGTAAGTTCAGGCTAATGTAAGAATACAGTATAAATTTCAATAACATGAGAGGTTTTACTTCAAAGACTGGTGTTAGGAAAAGAGAAAAATTTATAAGAGCCATTCATGAATAAATCCAAGAGAGAAAACAAAAGTTAATTAAAAAAAAAAAAAAATCACCAAACAGGTTAAAGCCATTGACACAGCACGACACCCCTGGCAGTCATAGTGCAGTAGGAGATACAGTACCAGCAGCCACATACTACACCCACCTCTACGTTCCAAGGCAAAGCAAACCAGCAAACGACAAACTATCGCCAAAATAAACAAAACAAAATAGGATCAGGCCAGACAGGGATAAACAAAACAAAAAAAACAAGTGGAGCCAAATTCTACCAACTTACCAGAGCCACCGGCAAAAGACACGTAACCTAGGCGTTCGCAGGTAAGGGATGGAGGACCAGGGGAACCACGGCACGTCAAGGTGGAGGAGGGTGAGGGAGGTGTTGGGATGTGGGATGGTGGACAGGATGGATGGAGGTGGATGGAACAGAGGATTGGGATGTGGGATGGTGGACAGGATGGATGGAGGTGGATGGAACAGAGGATTGGGATGTAGGATAGTTAGAGGTGGATGGAACAGAGGATTAGAATGCAAGACAGTTATTAGGATGGTTGCAAGTGGACGGGAGGGAGGATTAGGAGATAGGATGATTGTTAGGCGTGAGAGAAGTAACAGTCGAGGAAGCGCAGATGAAACGGAACAACAAGAGAATCAAGAGAAGGAGAGAAGCAAGGAATATACAAAAGAAAGATAAGAGACAATAAAGAGAATATATAAACACAAGTAATAATAGATTTGTAAAAGAGAGAACAATTACGACGAGGAGGAAAACATGAAGTAATTTGCGAGAGAGATTTACCGGAGAGATTGTTTACACAGCATAACACAAGGAGTCAGGGATGATGAATACACGAGAGTAATAAAATAAACGAGTGGGAAAGATCCAATGGATGACGTAGACGGTTAATATAATATAGAGAGAGAGGAAACAGATACAGTACAAGTACGTTCAAGATGGCAGGAGACAAGTGTTGATACAAAACCCAAATGTCGAGATTAAAGAACCAAAACAAAAGTGGATGGGGGTAGATAGGGGTGGTGGGTGGGTGAAGGAAGAGGTGGTGGAGGAGGAGGAGGAGGGGGTGTATGGAAACAAGGGGTGGAAACGGTCGATTGGGGGGACAGCATTTCACGGAGTTAGAGGAGTTGTGGCAATTCCACGAAGGATGATCCGGAAAAGAAAGAAAAGCAAAATAAATATTAATAAATATATAACCATGATGCACAGGAGAAAGCACACTCTTATACAGCGAGACAGCCTGCAGACACCATACAGTACTCCCATTGCTTTACAGTCAGGATTTCTTTCTTTTTATCTAACACTTAATCTGCATAACCAGCGGCCATCTTATCTATAATTTAGACACAACATACCTAATAAATAAAACAAAATAACAAATGAATATTCAACATTCTTAGAATCATAATCATAATATTAAAGCATATTTTGCATGTCTCAAAGTTAACTCAATGGAGCTTTTTTTTATTCTACTAAATTGCATGCGGTAACTTTATTCACGTCACACTAATCATCACTACAAACAGAAAATAAATTAATGTACAATAGCACATGCAATATATCGGGGGCTGGTAAGGCCATGCCAGCAGCAATTACATTAAGTCACTTGTATTCTCGACACTGTAAAGAAAGAGAGAAAGATAACATACTGATACCTCATGAACGTTAGAACCTCCACTTATTTCAACCGATGATTAAACACCCTAAACCTAACCTAATCTAACCTAACATAACACAACCTAACCCTATCCAACCTGTCTACTCATCGCGTGAAATAATCTTGGGTGTTCCTAATCTTTTCAAGATCGAATAAAACAAATGATTACCACGGGACAAAATTCTCTGGTATATCTGATGGTCCGTCTCTTATCTCATCTGTGTCTATTAGTCGAAGGTATTGGATTATTATATACAATGAACGCTTGTACTGAATCTCCTCGTGAATTACCTAGAATCGTCATGTCAACCTTAATCAGAACGAATCATAGCATTACCGTGAATTAGCAAGATCACGTCAACCTGAATTACCATGAATCGTAAAATCACACGAGCCATCGACATCAAAAAATAAAATGTCGAGGAGTCAATATCTTCCATCTTAACCCCGAGTCCATGTACGACCCAGGGGAAATAATTCAGTGTAGTACCATAAGCACCATCACTCACACGGCTAAACTCCTAACTGACTGATTGATTGTGGTAATAACATCCCTGGCGACGCAACAGCTTAGGTCATATCCCACCGAAGTAAACTCTTTAATAAGTAAATAGTTTCAGCGATCCATCTAACTCCTATTACTACTGTCTGCCTAACCAGCCCTCACCATCCCATAACTACTGTCCACCATCTTGGGTTCTAAATACAATCTGCCATTTTTTGCTTCAGTTCCAGTTGGTATATCATGAACCAGAGGAAAGACAGTGAACTAAGTAGTATCATTATTAACACCATCAGAGAAAGGGACGTCAAGATCAACCCTCCATTTCTGGCCATTACCCTTATGGACAACAGCCAGAATATATGATATGATTCTATACTCACAATTAAAACAAATCAGGCCACCAAGGTGATATAGTAATGAATTGGGCCTGAAAGCTTCACATGTCCAGCCCCCTAATCTCCTTTATTACAGCCAACTATCCTGCAAAGATGATAAACAATCTATTCTTTCACAGGAAACCTTCTCAACAGAGTCACTTTACCATGGTCGGCCCCACACAATCTGTCCAAGAGATAGACAACAGCATCAACATTACTGGTATTGCTATCAACCTCACATGATGCGTCTCATCCTGGAAGCTGTGACCAAGACTCCCTCTATTCACAGCTTGGAAGGAATGTTGTGACGAGCATCCACATCAAGGTAGTGTAAGGATACGTGCCTCCAGTAAAAACCATAAACCTACACACCATATATGATAACCTGGTACTGTATATGTTGTTTTAAAGCTGCCATGAGTATGCAAGAATGGAATGATTATAAAAACAAGCTAGTCTCTTCACTCCAGATACCATGTAAAGTTAATCATACTATGTAACAGATGTCATTCATACTGCTCACACACTTTTCACGACCACTATCACCACTAGTTCATTCTTAAAGCACCTCTTCATATACAAAACACTCAACTTCAAACTCTTATCGACAAAATACAACCAGACAAACAGGCATATTGCATATACTCTGTACATATTACATTAATAAACACAAAAATGCACGCAAAACAAAAATAAATTCAGAAGCAAACATATACAGTACACACTCAAGCTAATTTAAACAAAGAAATACAGCAACAAAAATTATATACACACACTTTATGTAATAATATGGATGCCTTCACACAAAACAACAGGCAGACATGCAGAGATAATGCTAAAACTGTATTATCAACAAACAAACATGCACTCATTTTCTCCCTCCAGATACACATACAACTACTCCACATACACACCTCCCCCTTCCCACACACACACACACACACACACACACACACACACTGAGCCCTTTGCACTATGTATACTTCTCATGACATGCACCTTATCTCACTCTGACAGACACATATATTGTACTGTACTTCACTTGATCACATTCTGTAATCCTCTCTTTGCAGCTACACAGACTGTAATGTATCCTAGCAAATACCTTCTTCCTTGAGCTACCCATCAAACATCACAGTAACTCCTCACACATCTGCCCATCTCTCCTCTCATTTTACATCCATAACCTTCTTGAACACTTCCTTCATCACAAAGAGCCTACACTGGGTCACTGTTCATGGCCTAGTTGTCTAAGCCTCCAGTCCACCAGAACTAGTTATGTGCTTCTAAAACATTTGCACGAAGATATAAAATATGTGTGCAGGTAGAGACATGTGAAACAGGTGAGAGTACAATGAAAAGAAAGTTCTTGGTAGAGGCCAAACACACATATCCCATGGGGTGTGTTTGACTAATTTAATTAATATTTTGCTGATTAGCCGGCTAAGTCAATCAACTAATTAAATTTCAAAATAGACATTAAATTAATAGAAATTTTCCCAAACTAATTGATAACCAGTCAATTTTAAATTAAATTTCCTTAAAAAAAAAATTTGTCATTCTGACAAAACATGAATGCAGTGTACAGTACCGTACTGTAATTTCATTATAACTATAGTTGGTGGTTTCTTGGATATTATGCAGAGTAATTGTGACTCATGGGGTCATTAAATATATTGACGGTCTTGTTGACCTCACATGGTGGTCGGGATCAACCTGCTGCCACTATCATACAACAAAGAGCATCAAGTCATAAATGTCACTTTATGCCCAGTGGAACGTTCCTTCAGTTGGTTGCAACACATGAACACCTACCAGGTAAAATTTTCATCACCCCTTCAAAAGAATGTGGGTCCGTAGGAAGTAACTCAATACAATACACGTTGTTTATCGTGGTCTCTCAGTCACACTGGGAATGTGTCAAATTAAAACACAAACAATAAACACAAGAAGGTACATACAGTAAAGTATATATCTCTATGTACAAGAAGTTATTCAGAGATCCCTTACCGGTGACTCGCCCAAGAGATTCAAGTTCACTACCCCTAAGACGCTGGTTGTACGGAAATGATGAGACAATGCACATTTTGTTCTTTCCACCTCATCTGACCGATCGTACAGTACTTTATTTGACTGACTGAACTTCCTCTGACTGATCGCAAACCAGGTTCACAGGACAATTAACCAACCCATTTAATAAAACCTGAGTCTGAAAACATCCAAGGGAGGCCACTCAACCCTTTCTTTTACCACTTGGTGCCAGTTGAGTACACGACCCGTGAACCAGAAAGGAAAGAATGGAATGGACAATCAGTTTTTTCTCCCTGTCACTACTCAAATTAAGATTACAGTAGTTAGGTGCATGAAGTACAGTAGTTTTATTAGTCGTCGTATAATAACAAAACACGACATCTTCAAACAATACTGTATTTATGGTAGCTGCTGTACAAGAGATAGCGAGAGGGTCGGGCAGTTTTGTACTGACTGACACCACAGTGAAAATAAATACACATGGATGCAGGACATCGTGTGTCTGCCTAATACAAGACAAAGACATCAATAAAATATACTGGGATACTTTTTAAAATGTTTGTGTCAAGTATTGTTCATGCAGGTCATGTGAAGCATCTACACTATACTTACATACGTGTCAGTGTACAGGTGAAAGTTTTTAATAATTTTTTGTACTATGGAAAAAGTGCCAAAGATTGTACAGGTGCACAGAAGACTTAAATCACTGATTACACTGAACTTTCTTATAAATACTGTTTGGTATATTGTATAATGATATGGATAAAAAAGGACATATTGTTTATATACTTTGTTCTTATATAAATATTTTATAGATCTCAGAAGATTTGGAACCCCAGCTTATTGCAGCTGTTGATCAAACATCCCAATGTTAACCTAACCTAACCTCACTATTTAGTATTAGTGTTCAATCATCAGATGCAATAAGCCGGGGTTCCTAATCTTCATAATATCCAAATTTTCATTCTAGTTCAAAAAATTTTTCAATAATTTAATAATTATGTAAATTCCTAACCAAGTGGAGGTTTAGCGTGGCGGGGCCTCAGAGAGTAACCAATCAATCAAGACACATGAAGGAGGATACACAATCTGTCATCTATTAATATAGTATAATACACTAGTACAGTACAGCAGTTTCAAGAATGGCCATGGACACCACATCTACCATCAACTTGCATCAACAATCTTGAATATAAAACATTCTGTACTGTCCACTTGCATCCCCTCAACAACTTACCCAATTTATCTTTAGTACAACTTGCAAAGAAATCCCCAGCCACTTACCATCACCACTACCGTTAAAGGCCACCGTCACTTTGGAGAAAGAAAAACAACTCTTCTCAGATACTTATAGAAACAATATTTGTACTGAAAGTGTAGAAAATTACCAGACGAGTTCAAACTTAGATTATTAGAGACAACTTAGCAGCAAAGGCTTAGACTATTCAGGTAACACTGAGAAGATTAAATTTCAAACTGTCTTGTATAAGTAAAATTGCAAGGGCTAATAGTCTCCCTTATACAGCATAGCACAAAGAAATTTCCTAATACTGTACATACACTTTCCAAAACTGACATACCATTTGGCACCACGATGCAATGTGCCCCAAGTAGTACCTTCATTTATCACTAACAAACCTTTCCCCCTTTATCAGTTACATCTATCTGTCATCACCTATGCATTCTATTATGCTCTTCCCTGTCCACAACACAGCCTCAAGACCTGCTATTACCCACAACCCAGCCTTAGCCAGCAGTAGCTATATGTGTCATCCATAAATCACTCAACACTGCGGTTTCTTAAATGACAATCCACCACTATCAAGGTCTCATATTTCTGTCCTTCTCTTGCTCCAGCCTTTGACTCCTGCCTCAATTATAGCATCTTTCATAAACTTTGCTTTACCAGTATGAGGAGCTGCTTACATAAAAATTTAAAAATGCTCTAAAAAGGACAGTGTCACAGCCTGGAAACACACACGGCCCACAAAATATAGCAGATCTGTCAGTGGGTGTTCTGGCAGGGTAGTCTTACAGGTCACTTCCTAGATGACCAGCCAGTCATAATACATCACAGGTAAACAACAGGTGGCCAAGTCAGAGAAGGCATCTTATGGAGGGTGAAGAACAGCAATATACAGTTGCACAAGAATTATCAAGTTAAAAGGAACAAAACCAAAATGTAAATGGCAATATTCTATTCATTAACCTTTTTCATTATATTGCTAAATACAACACAAACAACTAGGGACAGTCACTTGGAAATCCAAATTCTTTGTTTTATCTCCACATTATTATAATCACTATCAATCCAACTAATATGTAAGACTAGTGGAGAAAAGTTATTAAGTTAAAATTAAAGATTTATAATGAGATATAACAATTCCTGATGAAGAAAATTAACACCATAAACCAAAATGTACTTAGGAGTAATGTTGAAACTCCCATCATATTAAGGACACTGAAAATATTAATCAGGCATATTACCACTATACTGTATGTGCTTAATTAAGATAGAAACACACACTTGTAATGAGAAGGCAACTACTGATTAAGCAAACTCCTTGTACATGAATCCTTACACACTCACTACTGTAATAAAATAAACAAGCAGTCATGAGTATTATTAAATGCCAAGAATCAGGAATCAGTAGATGTAGAGTCACCACTGCATCACAGTACAGAAAACAGTGACTCTACTAACAGATGGCAATGACCCAGACAGAGGATAGTTTGGCTAGTGTATGATGACCTGTGTACAGAAGTGGTCTCTATGCCTAACATCTCTTGTCAATCCACCACAGCAACAAAGTGGTTATTGTATATTTTCTTACAATTTCAGACACTACAAATGCAGGAGGTGTGAAAAACTTACTCTGGTGTCCTGGCTGTGTTGGATCCATGCTGCTCTCACCCGCTGAACTGACAATGGAGTTGTCTTTCCCACTGTTTTTTTGCTGAACCCCGTTCGCTGATGCCTGTTTGGTAATAATACAAGTTCAGTGCGCACCAGTCATTGAAATCCAAGTTTAATATCTACAGTTCATCCACAACAATTGAATAATAATATTTCTGGTGATGAAACACTGGTGATGCCATGTATCAGATACAGTACATCCTCTGATAATAATAATCTTTCCCCTTGAACAATGTTTCCTCTCTGATTATTCTACATGATGGCCAAACACTGAAAAATAAAAGAATGAAGCATGAAAATCCCATTCCATCACGTTGAGAAAAAAAGTAAGTAACCCGTGAAATCCAAACTACAGTATACTAAAATTCACTGAGGGATCTGCACTGTTCCTTAGCAGTAGCATATCCAGTGCAAGAACACCTCCCACCTTAAAGTCCTGGGCCTGATATGAGGGAGAGGAATCAAAATCCTTCGTATCCAGTTTTACCCACATCAAGGGATCCTATAGAACCTGGCTTAGGTGGTTATCCCACCATGGATTAAAGCTGCACTTTCCCACCACTCTGATGAGACCCCTTCAGGGAGGGAGCCCAAACTATGACTGAGGCCACTGTCAATATCTCTCCTCTTGGTGGTATGTTTGCTGCAGTCTTCTAGAGGCATCCAGATGGTGTAGGAGGTGAGTGAGGACTACCATTCCTAATACAGGAAACTGAGACTAGGGGCAGGTGTCCCCTTGTGGGAATCCCCACAGTGGTTTCTCTTTGTATTTGTGTAACCAGGGGCAGGATGGGGGGGGGGGGGGGCTCTTAACAGGTGGTGTAGTTACAAGGTGCAAAGGAAGGAAATGTTTACTTTCTCAAAAAAATGCAAATACTCTACTGTACTGTACTTGTGTTGAAGCCACATCAGTCAGCCACTTTGACCACCAAAACCATTCACCATTATTTCTAAAGCATTTATATGGGGATTCCTTGTTCTTTGTGTAAACTATAATACTGTATCCTGTCAACATAAAATTTATTTGCCTAACTACAGTAGTTTTACAGCTTCTGACAGAATTTACTGAAAAAGTACACAAGATGATCACCCACTGAAAATGAACATACATACTGAACTACAAGTAATACAGTCTTAATCCTCCAACAGTTTTATACCAGAATGACAGCCATTTACTGAGTTCATAATATTGCAGAGGATATTGTAGCTGCATTAGTTATCTATCTTTAAAAGAATAAATCAACGTTAAAAACTCATACTGCATACGACCTCAGTTCAAGGCACCATAGCCAGGCACTGTACACCACTGCAGTTACTATCAAAGGTAAAGCACCACTTACTGGTAGAATATGTCTGTACTAAACATTACAGATGAAAACCACCTTCAATACACTACCATAAATTCCCTAAAATATTCTTCATTTGTGATGGTTTACTGTATGATCCTGATCCTGCTATACTTGACCATTGTTAGAACTATAAAGACTCCAGATGACAATACAGCTTCAGGAGAGACACTGTATGACTCACTGTTGACTGAGACGGCTGGTTCAGGGCCTGATAGTTTGGGTGTCGCATCAGCGGGTTGTTCATAATATCATGTCGCTTCAGAGGCCTAGACTCCATTCCAGTGGCACCACAGAGTAACAACCTGCCAAGAAATATAAAAGTTACTCAGATATCACAGTGGGACAAGATTATTCATGGTTGGTAATGAAATAACATCAGTTCTGAAGTACACTGGTCCACAGTATCATGAAGAATTTACACAACATTATTACCAAATACACTTGTAAAATCAATCAGTTCAGTATTGTACAGTCAGTGATATTTTAACATTTTTAATCCCTCATTTTCCCGCAGCTTCCAAGCCCTGCCGTCTTGAGTGGGAATTTAGTATTTCAGGGTAAAAAAAAAGGCCATATTTATGAAACATAACATTTCTCCAAAAAATTAATATCGCCACTAATCACATCAAAAAAGTATAAACAAAAAAGTTGTTTATGCTAAAATCGTCCACCAGTGTTATCTGTTCTGGATTACTACCAAGCCTTTTAACCTAGAAAAACATACAAAATGCAGAAGGAATGTATTTTGTGTTCTTCACTTTTGCGATTTTTTACCTTTTCCGTGTGCAGAGGAGCTTTCTGGCCCTCTGTCTGCTTGCCATGTTTAAACCTTTTTTGGAACAGCCAATAGTTCCTTTCAGAGATGATTGTTGCCTTCCCAAAGATTTGTTTTATTTACAGAAGGTGGTGATTAAATAGCAACTCTAGTTTACTTATCATCCAACACGATTCTCTCAAACAACGTGAACAAGTTAACTAGACAATCAGAACATCTTTCATCAGGTAGCTGCTAAGGCCGGTGTCATGCGACAAATCTTCCGGGCTCAGCAATTACTGATGTTTGTTATCGACATCTAAGATGTATGATTGATTTGTGAGAGCTGAAAATATTAATAAATACGGTAACGGAAGGTTTTGAATGAATTTCCCATTATATTGGGCAAACTGACTACAGTATAAGGATGATATGAAACATACTCACTACCAAAGACAATGAAAGCACAAAGTGGGCAGTGCTTAGAAGTCGATGGAAATTGTGGGGTAAGAACACAAAAAATGAACCAATCAAACCCAAGGAATCCTGACCTAACCTAACATTACAAAATCTTACCCTACTTAACCGATGGTGGAGGCTGATCATGTGTGCACCGCGTGAAGAAGTCAACAATAAACACTTAAGCGAACTGGAGAACCACCAAAGTTGTATGAATTTTACTAACTTTATAATCAAATTTAATACCCAAAACTAAGCATTTAACCAGGAAGGTTTGTCGCACGACACCGGACCACTCTTGTCACGTATTACCCTGGCGACTACAGTATACACAGACTAGGGTGCTGGTATGAATCCAGGAACAAAAGTCACAAGAAGAAAGTTAGATAAAAAGGCACGGAAAAAACCTAACCTAACCAACGTGCAATGCCATCATATATATATTGTGTGGTCAATGTGTACAAGTCAAGTGACTTTTTTTCCTGTGGACTTTATTTCCGTCCACCGCTGATACATAAGTGACTAGAACTCTATATATGGACAGTCCAGGTATACAAGTCACATTATTATTAAAGTACAAAGCCATTATACATTACACATCCACTACATACCAACATACAATATTTTCTCACTTAAAAATACGAATTATATGATAAAAACTCTAAAACACACAATTGGTCTTCCCAGGAACACGAAAACAATTTTCCTAATTTTCTTCCCAGCACTTATTTCACCAACACCATCCTTAACGATCCCTCTGACCAACTTACACGTGATGGTAACTAATCCTTGTTAAAATACGTAATATAAAGGCAAAATATAACCCCTTATTATCAGTCCATAAAGTCAAAGTCATCCTATTGTAACTCTGGTGTTGAGATGTGTCATTCTTCCCCTCCTAGACCTTCTACGACCTATTAAAATCCCCTGAATGACTCTATTAGACGTAGCATGCAACTCCCCATTACCATTTTCGTGAAAGGCAGGCGTTAGAGGTGTAATTGTGAGATAATATTTCAATATGCCACTTCCTCTCAGGTGTTTTTGACTACTGCTCTCCTGCCGGAAGTCGCTATCCGTCTGCTTATTCCTTCCTTATGCTACCGGAGTAATTTCTACTCTACTATATAACCAGGACCAATTCCATATATTATATCATAAGCTTCGTGTGATAAAAATATCTCTGGGAGTAATAAACTCCGGTAATGTAGCCTTATACATTCTATGTGAAAGAGTTTAGTGATTGTCAGCACGAAAAAAGATATTGCTGGAACATAACAAAGTACAGAAAACGCAGGTAAATATGTCAGGTAGATATAGAAAACGGCGGCGCCGAGTCATCCACAGATGATCATGTGACAGGCAATCATCGGCCCTCTTCCATCACACGCACACACACACATGATCACATATTTACCTTCTTCGCTTCTAAGTTTTAATTTCCATCTTATTTAATGATCTTTGAAATCTGGTTCTTTAATTCTTCTCTTGTAATTTTTACATCAAAATTGGGTGAAGAGAATACAAGTCAAAATTTTCCTAATATCAGCAGCAAATCTACTTTCAATTGAAGAAATTATCGAGTCCAAATATGATACATCGACTGATCTATACTGGGGTCCTCTCACTGGACTATCATTGATTAATGGAATGTTAGCTGAAGAACCCTTAATTGATCATATTTTATCTGGCCCGAAGACAAACAAGAGTTATGATCTAATACCCTTACTATGTATCAGATCATTGTATTTAAATTTATATATTTTCACCTGACACATGAGATAGCTATGCATATTAAACTTACACAGACGTAAATACCAAAACCTTCAGCCACAGTTACGCGTATTCACAATATTACACTATTAAGTACCAATTGGGCCTTCCTAACCATCACATAGGAACCATGAATGATCCCTTAATACAATCTACTGTATATACAGACTTAAGATTATAGGCACGGACAAAACATCATAAGTATACAAATTATCCCTTCGAAGAGTTTACTATTTTCTGTGACGGTGCACCATAGAAAACTAGAATATTACTTTAAAGATTGAACCCTGGTCTACTGGCTCCTAAGGCAAGCATGCTGACCATTACACCACAGGTTGCCACCACCTCCCAATACTACTACTACCATCACCACTCTTTAACTGAGCGTGACCACCCCCCCCCACTTTAAATCGATATCAGGTCATCCTCTGCGTCTCCGGTCACCTTTTGCGTCTCCGGTCACTTCTCATGAGGTCATATCAGTCTTTAAGTACGCTTCAGTACACTTAAATGGAATCTCCCTCTGCCTGATTCACCTTAATGCAAAATGCGATAAAATGTCATAGATGAAAATCGTCTTGTTTTTTGTCTGAACTTAATATATTTTGGGGCTATTTGAGGCCAGGTGTGACCAGCTGTGAAGGTCGGTTACAAACACACACACACACACACACACACACACACAATATATACTCGACAACATCCTAGAGTTCATCCAAGTAATAACAAGTCGTGTCTGTATTTGCAAGAGCCACAAGCTGTTCCGGTGACTGCGTGACTGTTGCCACTTGAGAAGTTGATATTTGTGTACCGTTGACCTTACTAGGATGAGAGAAGGGAGATCAAGTCACCTGTTCATAGTACATAACATAACCATACAAGGACTCACCTAACTTAACCCATCAAACGCCATGGTAGTAGAAGATAAACATTCCGTTTGAAAGACTAGATTCTTACCCAGTAACGTGATATCTCTCTTACCATGACGATATCAACCATCTTCAGTTTTCTTTCGTTAACCATGTTGGAAAGATGATAAAAGAAGACAAAGACAAAGAATGAGAGAAGACAAAGGGAAGCAAGACCTCACCATCAGTGGACAGTAAAGAGTGGTTGACACATGAGATGGGGGTAGACCTGAACCTGCCACGGGGAAGAGAGTGGTAAGGAGGCAGGGAATGATCGAGTCACGTATGCCGGTGCCGTCTTAGCTGTCAAAATAAAAGCCTTTGTTTAAATATGGTTAAACTCAAGCCTTTATACTATACAGCGCTCAGGAAATCCTTATCCAGTATACGGGATACACACAGAAAATCCCACGTCCGTTAACGCACCATGAAGTTTTATCTTGGGGATCTGGTTATATAATCCAGTTTATTTATGTTTTGTTAAAGTAATATCCACCACATATATATTTAATTAAGGTCTCCAGGTGTAAGCGAGCCATTAAGTTCTAGAGCGTAAACAACAAGAATGAGTGAGGGGGGGATGGGGAATGGAAGAGGCGTATCAGTTACGTAACACGAGACGAAAACATATCACCGCGTCACAAATTCACAATATATCGTTCACATCAGTCAAATAGTTTTTTTTTATACCTTATTGAGTGTTTTCACCATTTTTTTCTTCATATTCGCGACACAATAATTAATAAATATAAACTCACGCTAGGGAGACGAGCACGAACACAATCCACCTCCAAGCTCGAAGCAACACTAGCCCTGTCAGTCTGTCACACCGAGAACCTATTATGATTCACACATCTCACAGAAATAATAATTCCATTCGATTTTAAAGTTCAATTCGCGCGTGTTTACTTGGTTTTATAAACGCGAGGAGTAGCCAGGATAATAAAGTAAATTAACGAGACGCAGGAAAATGATTTAAAAGGTCGTGGAGGAAAATTTAATAGAGTTTTATTATGAAAATCTATGTCGGGTGGAAGGACGCTTGACATTGCAGTGGTTAGTCCTGTTGCTACCTGGTCTTAATGAGAAAAAAAAATCCCATAACTGATTAATACAACACAAAACTACACTTCCCATAAGAATAGCACAATCAACAACACAGCACTTTAAACCCAACACAACACATCTCAATACAACCCAACACAACACATCTCAACACAAAAACAACACAACCTCCTCACTGTTATGCATTTACGATATAGTCTCACAATCTCTCTTTATCATTGCCGGGATTCTCAAAGGATCTTATAATATTTAATATTGACCTTAATGCATTCACAGTATTACACAAACGCACAACTAAGCTCTTCACTTAGACGCGTTCGTTGAGTGAAAAGCTGATTACGTTAAATGCCACCAATATTTGAGATAAGTGGACCGGATTTATTGCCAATGTATGTGTTTTAATTATCACCTTCTAGTCAATTACAGATTCTTTCTAGACCTTAGTTGTTGAAGCGTAGTCAATTTCAATTTCAGTTCTGTCTCCATATCATGCTAAAGCATATACCGGTAAGTAATTGCAGGCACCAATACCTCACAATCAAGTGGACATTTCTCCTCCCTATCTCCCTGGCTCAAGTACTTTTCTCCTAACCTAACCTAACCTAACCTAACCTAACCTAACCGTACCTAACCTAACTTAATCTAACCTAACTTATCCTAGCCTAACTCCTAAGATTCTATCAACCATCGGATTTTTAACTAAACAAAATTTCGACGCAATATAGCCTATTAATAAAACTGTACACAGTGATTATAACATGAAACGTGGGAAAACCAGGAAACCAAAATAAAAGTTCAAATCATAAAGGAATTTAAAGGTGAATAAAAAAAGTAAGTTAACAAGTAAGAGATTATGTTGACTACACATTATACTCTCCTCAAGGCCACAAAAACTTCAAATTTTCACTTATCTTGTAATATTTCGAGATATAGTTTTTTTTTCATGGCCATTGAAATAGCCGATTCATGTCCTTGATCGTGGTAGAGATAAAAACATAAGGAGTGAACAGACGCATTACGATATTAAATGCTGGGTTTTTTCTAGGTTTATCAGAGAATTAAGTGGTTTAATCAATGTTTGATAAGCTGTGTTTTGAGAGCCGTTTGTACATACATTAATATCCCTCTCTTGTTGCTAAGGTCTCTCTCTCTCTCTCTCTCTCCCCTCACAAGTTATATAACGTGCCTGTATATTTGTAGGATTATTTATCTACGTCTATCTATCTATCTGTATAATCCACCAAGAGTCTTTGTGTGTGTGTGTGTGTGTGTGTGTGTGTGTGGATAACTGGTATAACCCTTTACTGAAGACATACAGCATACCTTAAGTGGTGGTGATATGATAAGTATAAGGGAGTAATGGCTCCTAGTAATCACTTAATTAGATAGTAGAGATGATTGTAGTCCTTATCACCACTACACAATATGTAACTACGCAACTCCAAACTACCTAACCTAACCTTACTAAATCCTAATATAACTTAACCTAACCTAACTCAAACTAACCAAATCAAACGTACAAGTGTTTTTACTTAATATTTAGCCGGGCACAGAGGCCACCCCCCCCCCCCACAGCCCCTCTGATCGCACCCCACAATGGATAACTTAATTGTGGGACGCAAGAGGCTTTTAAAATCTCAGTGTGTGTGTGTTGTCGCACTAGCGTTGGCGTCTCTTATTTTGAACCGAAATTCTTTGATGTTTGTTACTTGACGTGCCTACAAGATATATTTGTATAAGTTTTCGCCATGGTAATAGAGACAAGGCTCTCAGAACAAAAACTGAGGAGCAAGAAACAGATTCGGAAGAAGAACATTGAATGACCCGTGAACATTGAGTTAACATTGATCAGCTGATTTTCAGTACCGCGCTCTTTAAACGTTGTAAAACATTTTGATGCATTATGTCTCCACTCAACATTTACTACTAATTTTCCTCAGAACAATTGTAGAGGATATTTAAAATTTTAAAGATTATATGATTTAAAGTTTGTCAAGGAAGAAACCGAAGTAATTGTTTTTTGTTTTTTTTAGTTATCCCTTTAAATGGTGGTCTTGAAGAGAACGAGTAAGTGGCAACTGAGGGGACGTTTGGTGTGGCAACAACACCTGCTGGTGAGGCTGCCAGGCAGACTGTGAGCCTGGCTGTCAGAACGTTGCGAGGCGGACGGGTGAGCACACATTACAAGGGCTCTCGATGTTGTGGTACCGGTGTTTCTCGTGATAATTCATGTTTCTTAAGAAAGTTAAATTTGTACAGCGTTCCGGAAATCACCTGTGAGAAGAGAGTGATAGTTGTGTCAGGTGGTATACGTAGCGTGTGATGCAGGACGTTGTTATTGACCGAGAGTCCGACCACACGATTTGTTACCAGTCATTCACCTCCGAACGCCAGCAACCACGACTCAGCTCTTCCTCTTCCACTTGAAAACACTCCCAAACTACCAGGAATACCTAAACCATCAGCGTCAGTAACTAAACACGAAAAGAATTTTGATACAAAGTGTGCAGGAGACAGCTGGATAAACAAGAGGTGGTGTGGCGGTGCGTGATCAGTAAGATCGGCTAAAGGAGAAAGTATAAAAATAAGATAATCTCTAAAGGTGTGAGGTAAGGGAGAGAAGGACGATGATGCCTATGAAGCCAGTGACAGTGTTGTTGAGTGTGGGCGCCATCCTAGTGACTTTGTGTGCAGTCTTCATCGGCGTCTTCCCGGTCATCTTCAACTCTATCGTCAGCAAGGTTAGAGAGAGGGAGGCTTTAAACCAGTACACGTAGCGTTGGTTTAAAGCAGGTTAGAGTACTGGTATTGCATAGTGTTGAAGGATCCAAATGTAGAGAATATTGGCCCTAAGACAGACAGACATGGGAACCTAAAACTGTATAGTGGTATCTCAGAATCTTGGAAATAAAATCATGGCTAATCATACTGTTAAATTTCATCACATAAAGATTATTGTGTGGTTACGACCTTTGGAAGTATTAGTGTCAGATCTGTGTATTAATGCGTAGAGTACGGATGTATTATATATGTATTAATGCGTAACTTGTGTATGACTACCAGTGAAGGACGAAGGGGAAATATGAATTAAGAGACATACGCCTTTTAACATTCATTGTGAGTAGATTTTTATTTACATATTAACTACAGTGCTAAATATTTATGTTTAATGGGGTGGAAATATATTACTAATATTCAATTGAAAACTACAAAAGTAATTTAGATAACTACGCGTCTGGACCTGTTTAGCACCTATATTATGTAAACCTTATCAGTTGACATCTCACACATACACATGATATAAACTTGTATAAATAAACTGATTGGCTGTGTCAATAGTCCGTCCCGTTTGTTCAGTGAAAAAAGGAAAAAAAAAATATCCCCCACACCAAAATATTGCATTACTTTGAGTTGGTTACGACTTATAAATAGATATAAACAAGTAATTCCTGGTAAATAATTTGAAGGCTGAACGGAAGTTGAGTACTTTCTTACAGTGTGTGTCAAAAACTCCATTACTCAGACATAATTTTATCAATAACCTGTATACCAACCAAACGTTCACACAACATAACCCAAGACATATATATTAATTCTTGTACGTGGTCATCTGTGAATGTTGATTTTAATGGACTTGTTCTCTCGTACAAATAAAAGTTTTATTGTTCAATTCTTTGATTACGTAAATATACAGTTTTTGGGACACCCTGTACAGAAGTGAACAACAGGTAGATGCGGGATGAGTCCTTGTTGCATTGGTGAGGGAGTGTTGGTGAGGGAGGGGTGTTAGAGACGGAGGGAATGTTGGTGAGGGAGTGTTGATGAGGGAGGGGTGTTAGAGACTGAGGGAATGTTGGTGAGGGAGGGGTGTTAGAGACGGAGGGAATGTTGGTGAGGGAGTGTTGATGAGGGAGGGGTGTTAGAGACTGAGAGAATGTTGGTGAGGGAGGGGTGTTAGAGACGGAGGGAATGTTGGTGAGAGAGGGTTGTTAGAGACGGAGGGAATGTTGGTGAGGGAGTGTTGGTGAGGGAGGGGTGTTAGAGACGGAGGGAGTGTTGGTGAGGGAGATAATGAGGGTGGACAACAGGTGGATGAATGAGTTAACACAAATTGGCTGACGGTGAACATATGTCAGTGTATATACTGTATACCTCCATGTATGTATGTACGAGTGTTTGTGTGTACGTGAATGTTTCTTATGTACGTGAATGTTTCTTATGTACGTGTGTGTGTATTTATATGTATGTGTGTGTATGTACGAGTGTTTTTGTCTGTAAATGAATGTGTATATGTATGTGTATATAAATGTACTTATGTGCGTTTTTATACTGTATACCTCTCTGTATGTGTGTACAGGTATAGGAAGTATACGTGGGTGTGGATATAATATTGTGGGTGTGTATGTTTACGTAAGCGTGTGTGCATGAAGGTGTGAAGGTCAGTCACTGTTACGCACACAATATGAATCCACCATTATGCATGACGAGTTGTTCCTGTTCTTGCATAAGCCTCTCTGTAAACACAAACATCAAGGGACTCTGTAAACACAAACATCAAGGGACTCTGTAGACACAAACATCAAGGGACTCTGTAAACACAAACATCAAGGGACTCTGTAGACACAAACATCAAGGGACTCTGTAAACACAAACATCAAGGGACTCTGTAAACACAAACATCAAGGGACTCTGTAGACCAAACATCAAGGGACTCTGTAAACACAAACATAAACACAAACACTCTCACAGGGACTCTGTAAACACAAACATCGAGGGACTCTGTAAACACAAACATCAAGGGACTCTGTAAACACAAACATCAAGGGACTCTGTAAACACAAACATCAAGGGACTCTGTAAACACAAACATCGAGGGACTCTGTAAACACAAACATCAAGGGACTCTGTAAACACAAACATCAAGGGACTCTGTAAACACAAACACCAATGGACTCTGTAAACACAAACATCGAGGGACTCTGTAAACACAAACATCAAGGGACTCTGTAAACACAAACATCGAGGGACTCTGTAAACACAAACGTCAATGGACTCTGTAAACACAAACATCAAGGGACTCTGTAAACACAAACATCGAGGGACTCTGTAAACACAAACATCAAGGGACTCTGTAAACACAAACATCAAGGGACTCTGTAAACATAAACATCAAGGGACTCTGTAAACACAAACATCGAGGGACTCTGTAAACATAAACATCAAGGGACTCTGTAAACACAAACGTCAAGGGACTCTGTAAACACAAACATCAAGGGACTCTGTAAACATAAACATCAAGGGACTCTGTAAACACAAACATCAAGGGACTCTGTAAACACAAACATCGAGGGACTCTGTAAACACAAACATCGAGGGACTCTGTAAACACAAACATCGAGGGACTCTGTAAACACAAACATCGAGGGACTCTGTAAACACAAACATCAAGGACCTCTGTAGACACAAACATCAAGGGACTCTGTAGACACAAACATCAAGGGACTTGTAAACACAAACATCAAGGGACTCTGTAGACACAAACATCAAGGGACTCTTGTAAACATAAAACATCAAGGACTCTGTAGACACAAACATCAAGGACTCTCAGACACAAACATCAAGGGACTCTCAGACACAAAACATCAAGGACTCTGTAAACACAAACATCAAGGGACTCTGTAGACAAACATCAAGGACCTCTGTAGACACAAACATCAAGGGACTCTAGACACAAACATCAAGGGACTCTGTAGACACAAACATCAAGGGTTCCAGTAGACACAAACATCAAGGGACTCTGTAGACACAAAACATCAAGGACCCCTGTAGACACAAACATCAAGGACCTCTGTAGACACAAACATCAAGGGACTCTCAGAAACACAAACATCAAGGGACTTGTAGACACAAACATCAAGGGACTCTGTAAACACAAACATCAAGGGACTCTGTAAACACAAAACACTGCGACTCTGTAAACACAAACACTAAGGGACTCTCTGTGGACACAAAACATCAAGGGACTCTGTAAACACAAAACATCAAGGACTCTGTAAACACAAACATCAAGGACCTCTGTAGATACAAACATCAAGGACTCTGTAGACAAACATCAAGGGACTCTGTAAACACACAAACATCAAGGGACCTGTAAAACACAAACATCAAGGACTCTGTAAACGACAAACATCAAGGGACTCTGTAGACACAAACATCAAGGGACCCCAGACACAAACATCAAGGGACCCCTGTAGACACAAAACATCAAGGGACCTGCACACAAACATCAAGGGACCTAAACACAAACAAGGGACTCTGTAAACACAAACATCAAGGGACTCTGTAAACACAAAACATCAAGGACCCTGTAAACACAAACATCAAGGACTCTGTAAACACAAACATCAAGGGACTCCCCAGAACACAAACATCAAGGACCTCTGTAAACACAAACATCAAGGGACTCTGTAAACACAAAACATCAAGGACTCTAAACACAAACATCAAGGACCCCTGCAAACATAAAACATCAAGGACTCTGTAGACACAAACATCAAGGACCCTGAAACACAAACATCAAGGACTTGTAAACACAAACATCAAGGGACTTGCAGACACAAACATCAAGGGACCCCTGTAAACACAAACATCAAGGACCTCTTGTAAACACAAACATCAAGGGACTCTGTAGACACAAACATCAAGGGGAGACTCTGTAGACACAAAACATCAAGGGACTCTAGACACAAACATCAAGGGACTCTTAAACACAAACATCGGGTGAGACTCTCTGTAGACACAAAACATCAAGTGACCCTGTAGACACAAACATCAAGGGGACTCTGTAAACACAAACATCAAGGGACCTGTAGACACAAACATCAAGGGACCCCTGTAGACACAAAACATCGCGACTCTGTAGACACAAACATCAAGGGACTCTGTAGACACAAACATCAAGGACTCCTGTAAACACAAACATCAAGGGACTCTGTAAAACACAAAACATCAAGGGACTCTGTAGACACAAACATCAAGGACCTGTAGACACAAACATCAAGGACTCTCTGTAGACACAAACATCAAGGGACTCTGTAGACACAAACATCAAGGGACTCCCAGACACAAACATCATGAACTCTGTAAAACACAAACATCAAGGGACTCTGTAAACACAAACATCAAGGGACCCCTGTAGACACAAACATCATGGACTCTGTAGACACAAACATCATGACTTGTAGACACAAAACATCAAGGGACTTGTAAACACAAACATCAAGGGACCCTGTAAACACAAACATCAAGGGACTCTGTAAACACAAACATCATGTAATTCTGTAGACAAAACATCAAGGGACTCTGTAAACACAAACATCAAGGGACTCTGTAAACACAAACATCAAGGACTCTGTACACAAACATCAAGGACTCTGCAGACACAAACATCAAGGACTCTGTAGACACAAACATCAAGGACTCTGTAGACACAAACATCAAGGACCCCTGGTAAACACAAACATCAAGGACCCTGTAGACACAAACATCAAGGACCCTGTAAATGGCCAGCACTGGCGGGGACTCTGTAAACACAAAACATCAAGGACTCTGTAAACACAAACATCAAGGGACTCTGTAAACACAAACATCATGGCCCTGCAGACAACAAAACATCAAGGACTCTGTAGACACAAACATCATGGACTCTGTGGTAGACACAAACATCAGTGACCCCTAGACA